TCAGTATAGCACTTTTTGGTCTTCTAAGTGCTTTCATAGCCTCTGATCCAATGCAGTTCTGGAAATTAGGAGGCCTGGAGTCTAGTCTCTGTTAGTTATATAATCTGGGATAAGTTTAAAATTTTTTTCTATGCTTTCATTTTTTTCTATGCAAAATAAGATAATAATTCCTGACTTGCTAATATTCAAAGTTGTTCAGGTAACATGACTTAACGGCCTTTAAAAAAGTGTTTCCCATTTGTAGGGTAGTTTTATTAAGATAGTAGTCTTTACATGTCAAATAGAATCACAGATAAGCTTTAGGGGAAAGAAAAACAGAAATGCAAATTTTCGTATTTCAATTCCATTTCCCCTTGAGAAAATAACCCAGACGTTATTAAATGATCTTTTCAGCCCAAGTTGCAGGCAATCCTTTAGCATTCTTGAAAGGCTTCCAAGCAAAATTGAAAACAAGATCCTTTTCAGATTTTGTTTCTCCTATGAAACTCTTTGGAGAGTATGAAGATATTTTTTAACCTCTTTAGGAAGAAGTAACAGTCATATTTCCTTTCCTGTAATATTATAACATTATTTACATAACTGTGCCTTTTAAGAACTCTTTTCCATTTCACACATAGCAGGAAACTTATCTTATAGAACGGAAATATCAGTCACTGAGCACAGCCTCATAGAAGTTTACAACTGGAAGGAATCTCAAGTATCATCTTGTCCATCTTCTCATTTTACAGATGAGGAAATTGAGGACTACAGCATTTAAGTGATTTGTTCCAGCTTTTGGTGAGAGAACTGGAACTTGAATCCAGACTAGACTCAGGTATGTGTTCTTTCCACTCTTTCCAGAATCCTATGTCTACCAAAAAGCTATATTCTTTTTGCTTAATGCATAGTTTCTCGTCACAGTTTAGCTGTGTAACCGCAACCATAGACTCACAATGAAGTTCAACGTGAGGAATAGCTGCCTTCATTCACCTTTGTAAACAAATGTCTACAAGTGGTCAGACACACAATGGGCTTTTAATAAGTGCTGATCATGACACTCTTAAAATTTAAATAGCATTCTTTCAATTCAGAAATGCTTTTGGAAATAAGAACCAACTGGGAATCTCACAATTGACTGCCAATAGTCAGTTGATATGCTCTAAGAGTATGTGCTTTCATTTTGCTATTTAAAAACATTAAAAACTAATATAAACACACACTTAAGGATCTCAAACATCCTGAAACATTCTCTTTCTAGGTATAGTGAGAAAGTTTTCTTCATGTATTAGAACACTAGGTAAGCAAAGTGATTTGAATACTCAAGAGAAAAAGATGAATAAAATAAAAGTAACACAGTAATTCCACAGGGTTTCTTGGATCGAATTTCTTTCTTGATGAGATCTATTGACTGACTGTGCAGTGAGCCATTGTTAACCAGGGTACAAGCTGTTCTTCAATCTCTGCTATGTAAATTATCTTCTTATTATTATACAAATATTACCATCAAACTAGAGAATAATTTGGGACAGTTCATGGCTTTTATAGCAACCCATAGCAAGTGATGCTGTCTTGACAAAATATAAAATCACCTCCAACACTGAGCTGAAACTCTAGGAGAGCAGCAAACAAGCCCTGTAGTATTGTTTTAGATGAAGCACAGTGATAGCCCTGCACTTCCTCCAGGCCTCCTCTTTCTTCCTGAATGAACTCCAGGGAATGGCATCATGTCAGGCTTTCCAGATGGATTATGTGAAGCCATAGCTCAATGTCATTTTCAATAGGAAGCCTCATAATTAAAGGTCAAATAGTCACTTCATCTGCAATCAATCAATAGAAAAAGTACTAATACGAAGAACTAATCAATCAATGGCAAATGCACTAATAAAAGCAATGAATCAAATTCAGCATGTGTGTAGATGCAAGCACATGGAAGAGATTGAGGCAGGGCAAAAGCAAGAACAATAAAATAAATTGAAAGTATACGTACATGAGAATATTCAGAAAGCTTCTCAAGCAAGAGTTTTCATCTTTAGTTCATTAGTTACATGGGTACCTCTTGGCCTGCAATGATTTATTCTTAAATACAAATACTGGATGTAATAATCAATGGTATTTCATAAGGCTCACTTAATGTATTCTATTTGAGATGTTATGTATGCATATGTGTGTGTGTGTAAAATCACAAAAGGAAATATTATGACAGTGATCGTAAAAGGGATAGGTAGATTTTCTAAATGCCAAATAGATATATTATAATCTGTTGTATTTCATCTTTGTGTGAGAAGTGAGAGAAAGTATAACTCTGAGTGATATTACCTGAAATTTCCCCCCTGCTTTCTGGAATATGAATTCTTCACACTTAGTGTGATGGTCTTTCATTTCCATGCAGATAAGAAGTTCCATTAGGATACTTATTAGCCTGGAGCTCAGGTCACTGTCATGGCATATCCTCTGTACCACTGAGGTCAGGTCACCAGTTGAGGGTAACATGTATTGGATCTTGTGAAAACTGATACAGTAAATTTATAGGGCTTAACAAGCCATTTTAGCAATGGGATCCTAACACTTCTTGCTATATGTGGAAATAAGGGTGCTCCTGGGACAAGGGCGATCCATGCTCCCCTTCTGAGATAAGGTTAAGTGGCAAAGAGGCCATTTTTATAAATGTGACCTAGAAGACTGCAAGAGGGTAGCTAGGTATGAGCATGGCATGATAGAATAGTTGAGTTGGAAGTAAAAATGTCTAATCTAAGAGCTATGGAAACTGAGGCCTGGGGAGGTATCAGTGGGAGAGCCAGGATGAGTATTTAGTTCTTGCAATTCCAAGAGAGCTTAAGTGTGTCATGTTATGGAAGTAACTAAGGATTTACATTCCACGCTTACTTAGATATTTAGTTACACCAATATTTTATTGGAGGATCTAAGCGTCTGCTTCATGGAAGAACAATGCAAAAGCAAGGCAAAGTCAAAGTTAACCCAACCCTTTTTAGCAAAACTGCTACTTCTGATTGGTGATCAGAGCACCTATCTGCCCGAAAATTAGCTTTCAAAAATCATCAAGAACAGAAGAGTATGGCTCTGCGATTAAGAAAAATGAAAAGACAAAAAAAGATTTAATGGATAGGTATTTTGCTTACAGAAAAGAAAAGAAGACTGATCATGCCGCAGCATGCTTCTTGGGTAGAGCTCTTTGTTCAACCCAGACGGCTCCAGCACAGAACATCATGGAGAAACAAAAAAATCCATTTTGGTTTTCCTGACAAAAGCAAACTCCTAGGGGTGGGTTGGGTTTAAAAGCCCATTGCAAAAAAGGGTGTATCTGGTGAAGCTGTGGTTCAGCATCTGCTCTAAGAACACGGGATCATTTGATTCCTAACTCTGGACATCTGAGGCATCTGGTGGCACCCACCTCTGGGCTCCCTACCTTTGTGACAGCCCCTTACTTTTAGGGAACCTGGAACACTAGACATCACATCACAATAACCACATGGGAAAAAGTTCAAGATGATTTCTTTGAGTCAACAACTAAACCACACTTGTTACATGAAAATCGACAAGACAGGGGTCAGCAGACTGGAACCCTGGAAATGGTAACACAGTCATAACTAATCTAGTTAATAATAACTAATAACAATAGCTACTGCTTAAAGAGTATCCACCGCGTGCCAGGTAGCACAGCAAGCTCTTTAGGTGGCTCATTTAGTCCACAGCAATCTCCACACAGTGCAATTATTGCACACATTCTGCCATGTACTGACCAATTGTTATGTACAAGTACTGTGCTAGGTACTTAACAAATTTTATCTTTATTCTTTTACCTTACAAAGTAAGTATTATTCTGCCCCATTTTACAGATGAGAATGCAAGAGTTCAGGGAGGTTAAGTGATTTGTCCAGGGTCACAAAATCAGGATTGGAATGTGGCTTCCAAATTTGATGATGATGATGATTATGAAGAAAACCACACAAACATACTGCAGTGTATGGACAGTATATATATAATTTATTCAAGTAAGCTGAAGCCCTAGATAACAATTGTTCCTTAAGGCGTTTGTCCAATTTCTAAATCATTTTCCAAACTTGGTAAGACTGACAATAGCCTCTATCAGACAAATATGCTTGGGGTTAGTAAAAACATCGTGAAATGTCTTTGTTTTCTAGTTTACAAACTGAACTTTTTTAACGTGAACAGACTTAGAGCAATATCACGATTCTTCAATCTCGTAACATGCCAAAATATAAAGAAATTTTTAATATGACTTTTTACCACAATGTGCCTACTACCCCAAGGAGTTTGTGAATGATGTATATTTCAATAAAGTTTCTGATTACTTAATGACTTTTAATGACTAAAAACATGGATTCCTGATGTGTGGACAGGTTATTGGGATAATGCCATTAAACTGGATAACGCTAAGTAGAAAATAGCATTTTTATTCTTAATCTATTTTTTCCATTAAATAAACACTTATTTTACTTTAGGTGCTAATCAGATTGAGTTAATGATAACTATACTGTGTTTCTTTATAGAAATAAGGTTATGTTATATAACCTTCTGAAATGAACTTCAAACTACTGTCAATATCAAATTAGAGTAATAACATTATTCTCACCTTGCTCCAAGCTTCTAGAATAAATTAACATTTTTCCAGGAGCAACTCTAGAGCCTTCCAAAGCCAAGTTTTTGCCCATTCCTTTTTCAGAAGTAGTTCCCTGTGCCCCCACCCCACCCTAGCTTTTAACATTAACATTCTACATTGAAAACCTTTTATGAGAATCAAAAACCTGATTACAAATTAAGCTAAATCCTGCGTTATTCAATTTAGGCCCTCAAAATTGGTTCAATCAAATAATGGTATTTCAAAGCAAAGAATCATCCTCACTTTTCTACTGTTCTTTATCTAACATAGTGAACAGTACCCTTTCCATTTTCATTTGAAGAGTTGCCTGAACTCCAAAATCATAAGATGTAACTATCTGAGGATAATATTAAGTTGGTTTTTAAGTCTGTGAATCACTTACCTAATGTGAGGGACTTGTGTGTAGAACAGAAAATGATAGCCACAGTGTCTGCTGGTGTGAAACCCGAATTACTCCTAGAGGCAAAAAAAGTGTTTTACAAATACTTTTATAGAAAACCTATCTAATACATCCTAAATCAAATGCAGTACCTACCTTCATGTTAACATCTCTTTGATCAATCCTGGTGACAGAAGTAATTCTATGCCCAAATGTACAGAAATGTCTAAATTTCTTTCTAGAGAATCATTTCTGAGTCATTTATCCATGAAAAGGAGACAGTTTTAAAAACATGTGGTGGAGGTCTCCTAAGATCATGTATGTAATCAGCCTGTGGTGCAGGACTTCATGAAAACCATGCAGCAAGGGACTCTGTCAGCTAAGTTGCTAGGTTATCACTTGATATTAACCCAGTGGCTTGAAAGAGTTAATGTAGCTCCAAAACTGTTTCCCTCAAGGAGCAATGTATCCTTTTGGCAGCAAACACACCCTTTTGAGAAATACATGGTATGAACAAAGATCTAACATCACATGTTTTAGTAAAAATCATAACATCATTCTTCGAGCAGTTACCGTGTATCAGGTACTCCTCTAATGTCTTTGCATGTAAAGACAACAACCCCATAAGGCAGGTGACACAACAACCCTATTTACAGATGAGAAAACTGAGGCACACAGAAGTTGTGTAACTTATCCAGGGCCCCACAGCTAGTAAGTGACAGAGCCAGGATTTAGATCAAGTCTGGCTCCTGGGTCTATGCTCTTCACTGCTTGTTATATAACACGCTAAGCTTAAAAAAAAAATCTGGCTTAGTCAAAATCCATTCAATGTCACAAGGGTCAGTACTGGTGAACATCATATTCAGATATCCTATTTTAGATTATAAAGATTTAGAGAACCAGGAGCCAAAAAGGTTAGAAATATCATTATTATTGTGTCCTTGATTTGTTGGAAATTATTCCTTCCTGGAGAATCAGGGGTTGAAGATATAGTGAGTCTACTCATTTCCTGCCCTGAACTCAGACAAGAGAGTTAGCAAACGGAAAATACTCTAGAACCTGACTGAAAGTATATTGTTGCAGATATAACAATCTACCAAATTTTTAAGAATCTCTAAAGAAAGAGATCCCACCATTTCCTTTAGTAACTTCATCCTCATATATAAATTTTTTTGGGAGAAAAATGTTCCCTAAATGGATCCCACATCGTGTTTTCTTTGTTATACACTCACTGGAGGGGAGAAAGGCCTTCTCCTCCCCCTCCTCCTCTGCATCCTCTGTGCATATGTTAAGAGAGTACTTAAATTGCCCTTTGGTCTTCTCTCTTTTGAAAGGTCACCTATGTCATGCTTCCTAACCAGTCTCACATCCAGCTCTTTTTTGATAACAACTTTCCAAACTGATTTTTTGGTGTTTCACCTCAGTTAAGAATTCCTTACAGCTGTGTATCACTTGAGAATAAGATTGCCTTATTGTTCCCACATTTTATTCTCATATTTATATTGTGATACCACTCATTTCTTAAACATTGCACTACATGGCTGACACATTCCTTGATCCTTTTATTTGCCATGTAGGCCTAATGTGGAAGGAGCTATGTAAGGTTGTGTAAATTCATGGATGAAAGGAGTACAGATATGTACTCTATAAAAGAGAAAGAGATTGAGAATGAGAGAGAGAGAGAGAGAGAGAGAGAGTGAGAGAGAGTTTTGGCACCGAAGAGAAGGATTATCTCAAGCTTGGCAGGGGGGTGGGGGATCTTGATGGAGCACATAGAGAACCTTCTTGGAGGAAATAACAATTGAGCTGGGCTTTAAACAACATGTTTAGACATGTGAGATGTGTATTTTAGGTAAGGGATAGTGAAACTGAAGTAAGTATGGGAGTGAGAGGGGCAGTTGGAAAAGATCAGATTCTTCAGGCCGACTTGTGTGCAGGGACACTGGCTTGTGACCAGGAGTGTGGACTTGATAAGATGGGATAAGGAGAACTGATGAAGGACTTGGAACAGTAGAATGATAAGATCAGATCCATTCTTAAGGAAGGGTAATCACACAGCACAGCCTAAGACTGAAACTGATGAGGCCAGGCAGGAAGCAGAAAGCTCTAAGGGCCTGAAGAACCATAGTGCAGGCAGGAGACAGTGGTAAGAGACATGAAGATAGAATTAAAAAATTTGTCAACTGTTAACGTCTATGAAATATTCCCTCCCAACACTTAAGAGCACAGGCTTTGGGGGCAAATGAACTTGAATTTAAATCCAGATCATCCTTTTGCTTATATATGAAATAAGGATAATACTGCCTGCCTCTTAGGGTCATTGTGAGGATAAATGCCAATGTTTGCTAAGAATTTGGCACATTGCAAGTATTTATTTAATACACTCTAGTTGATATTTTTATTGTTATTGTTGCTTTGAGAGAGCAGGAGGAATTACAGAGAAATTAGAAGCTTTGAGCAAATAGGACAGAGAAGAGCATTTAGGCACTGAGGCAAATAGAGAATGAGAGAGGAGGCCAGTGAGGTCTGGGGAGGAGGCCAAGGAGTTGACGTTTACACGTACTGAATTTGTAGTAGTAAGAGGGCACTATGTTTTCAAGAAATCTGGTGAAGAGAAGAAAAGGGTCTTGGGAGATTTTAACACGAATAGAGAGAGAGCGAAGATGCAGCAGGTGGAAACAACTGATGAAACCAGGTCCTCAAATACGCCTGAGAGGACGAGTGGAGAGTTCCCTGTAGCCTGTGAGCTGGAAACAAAAGATGAAAAGGTAAGTGAAAAATACGGAAATTTTTCAGGTGGAAAATGGGAAAGTGGAGGCAATTTCTCTGTCAGAGCTTGTACTTTCTTTGTAAAGCGTGAGGCACTTCACTCATCCACAGAGTCTGAGGTAATACTGAGGCCTGGGAACCTAAGAAATTAGAAAAGCCTGAAATCGGCAGATTGGGGAATATGATCTACAGTCAATTCACAATGAATAAAAAACTTCCACAGAGATGAATGCCCACCTGTGCTTGTAGCACATGTAGCTTAACCAAGTGGCCTAGTTTTGGGCTGCTCTCCAGCAAGGCTTGTGGTGTTAGTAACACTACACAGGCCTTTTTTGTCTTTTGCTGCCCTTGTTTAGAACCAGTTGTTGCTGCATCTGAATTTATGCAGTTTGGTTTTCTTCCAAGAGAGTCTGGCAATACACTTCTCCTTTGGTGAACTCTGTTTTGCTTGATATCTTGCTCTTTTCCAGATTTTAGCACATTTCCAATGTGTCAAAATCTCTGGCCAAGAAGGCTCTGATTTAATCTGGCGCTGGCTGCCATTCCGTAGAGCAGCCCTTACAGTGTGGCTAAACAGGATATTTGCAAGACGTGCTTACCTGTCCTCTCTTTTAGGTAAGGAGACTGAAGCTAGGCCCACACTGGGAGGCTTCTGGCCTGATTTGAGTTGACACATTGCCCTATCATTCTATTGACACAAAGCCCATCAGGTGGGAGAGAGGACATAAAAATGGAACGTTTAAGGTTCAAAACAATATTCCCCCTAAGCAGGGCTGACTTCTACTCTACCTCCAAGTAACAGACTGTTCCACATCACGGATCTCGGGGAAGGCCAACAGAGCAGATGCTCACTTAACCCTCCACTCATGATGAGGATGATGACAATGATGACGAATGACCACAGCAGTAAACATTTGTTGAGCACTTTTCTAAGCACTTAGCTTCCTACTACTTCTTCTCAGAACAGTCTTATAACATAGATAGTATTATTGCCTTGCTTTTTCCACAAAGGGAACTTGAAGCACAAAGAGGTTAAATAACTTGCCTAAGGTCACACAACTAGTAAGTAGGCTCCCCCAAATCTTGGAGATAAGTTTGCCTGTTGAGAAGGAAATTATAAAGAAACAAAAACAGAAACAAAATAACCACACGATTTAGTGGACGAGAGCAGCCATGCTCTGTCAAGGGGTGGCTTAGTGGAGGAAAGTCATGACAATACACAGAAAACCGAAGCATTCTGTACATTATACTTAAGTAGTAATAACTGTAATTATTTTCAGTGATTAACATCTCTATTGTGTCTGCTCACATTCTTGAAAGGAATCATATTACTATTTCTTTTCTTTTTTTTTTTTAATTTTTATTTATTTATTTTTTTCCCCCAAAGCCCCAGTAGATAGTTGTATGTCACAGCTGCACAGCCTTCTAGTTGCTGTATGTGGGACGCGGCCTCAGCATGGCCGGAGAAGCGGTGCATCGGTGCGTGCCCGGGATCCGAACCCGGGCCGCCAGCAGCGGAGCGTGTGCACTTAACTGCTAAGCCACGGGGCTGGCCCTACTATTTATTTTCTAACTCTACCTTATCTCTTTTTAATATTGATTTTCTTTTTATCCTGTTTTTATAATTCTTTTGATCACTTGGCTTCCCCTGAGATGTTTATTTCCTTTTCTTCCCAACTGGTCTTTTTATTCTCTCTTACAAAGCTTTCAATCAGTGTTTTCCACATAATATTTATTTTGCCTTCCTTTGCAGTACCCACAAAGGAAAACATGTCAGAAGGTTTTACCAGTAGAATCACAGAATGTGGAGCAGAAAGGGTCCTCAGAGATAGTTCTGCCGGAGCCCACTGTTTTTAGAGGAGGAAACTTCCATGTGAAATACTTTCCTTTGTTAACCTCTGTACCTGTGTTTTGTCCTTACTCATTTTAGGGGAAGACCTTGTCTGTCATTAGCTGTGTGGTACTAAACAAGTTACCCAGAGCTCTGTGACTTCACTGCCTCATCTCTGAAATGGTGTGGATACTCACCATTAATAATAATGCCGTCTTCCCTCTCTCCCTCCTTTTCCCACTCTCTGATCCTTCAACCACCCTTCTTCCCTCCCGGGGCTATCGTGAGAGGCCGATTGAGACATCTGATTGAAAATGTACTGACAAGGATTAAAACACCTACACAAATATTGGTTTTCTCCCTTTTCCTTTCTTAATGGTTTCTTTTGTCACTCTAGTGACACTCTAGGTTTCTATTACTCTAGTTCTCAGCTTACCAAACTGTCTTTTATATATTTTTAAAGGCTCCCAATTACTGCTTTCTTTTTCTAAGCTTTTTCAACATTTTTTTTTTTTTTAACTTTGACAGCTTCCCAAAGTTGCAGAAAGCTTAGGTCACTATGGACAACTGACTGTTGGTTTAATGAATCAACTCTCATTTCCTAGCAACTTTGACAGAGAAATGTCAAAAAGAATGTATTACAAAGCTAGAAATGCTAATTCCCTCTCTTCCATAATTAGTTTTTGAAATAATATAAACTATTTTGACATAATAAATAAATATTCTACAGTAGCTAACATTCAGTGAGCACTTACTATATGCTAGGTATTATGCTGACGGCTTTATGTACATATTATTTACTTCTCCAAACGACCGGTACCACTACTATCTCCACTTTATAAATGAGGAAACTGACAAAAATGACAAAGTTTTTACATAGGATTGAAACTCAAGTCCATTTGACTCCAGAGTTGGAATTTTTAACCCTGACACTATTCTGTAGACAGATAAATGAGAACACAGAATGACAACTCTTAAATGTACTTTAAGTACTCAGAGTAGAAGAGGTTCACATGCCAGACACTAGAATGGTCACGTCAGGTCAGTAAATCTAAGAAATGTTAACCAGGTAAGCAGAGTGTTGCAGGAAAGTTGAATTTTCTAGGCTGGGTCTCTTCTGGTTTATGCTAAACTTCCATCATTCAGAGGTCAGTGGCATGCTGTACAAAAAAAGACAGACTGATTTCCATGCTGAGATTTTTGTCTCTTGATATCTAGATTGGTTTTAGATTCACTGAACTGGTAAGAAAAAGATGAGGAAAAAACCACAGACCAATTTCACTAATTTAAGTAGGAAGGAACAAAAAGTAGGAAAAGAAAATGAAACTCAAGAGAGTATAAACCAAGGGGTCCTAGTTCAAACTCTTAGTATCTTAGACTAATGTGTGTGTGTGTGAACTTGAAGAATCCAGTTAAACACTACAAATTCCCTAACCAAAACCAGTATAGGAATTTAAAAAGTAATTGAAGTAGTTTAGTGCAGTGGATAAAGCATGGGCAAATGTTTTTGGAAACGTCAAATAGAAATAGATTTCAATTCTACATGTACTATTTGCCATCTGTTATTAAACTACTAAAATCTGATTTTAAACTAAATTAACTATTCTAAGTGTGGGTCCTCATCTGCAAAATAGCAACAAAAACACGTAGTATCACAGTCTTTGCTGTTAGACTTACATGAAATAACATATGCACAATCCCTTGCATAGTGCCTGGGACAGAGAAGGGTTCAATCAATGTTGGTATCTTTCATTCCTTCAGTAAAATCTTCAGGCACTATGGGGTCTCTCAGCACGAAAAAAATGTGAACACCATCTTCTAAATTTTGTCCAGTTGAAAAATCTCCAAATTTTAATGGAATACTTTGGGGCTACACAACCATTACACAGGAGCATAGTTATGGGCACCCCATATTCTGTTGTTTATCAAAGAACGCGCCTGTGTGACAATGGGCCAAGCAAGTTCAAAACGTGACAGAACTTCAGTGAAGGCAGAATAGAAGGATCTCAAAACCACAAGGTCTTATGAATGTCCAGTCTACCGCATGCTGAAAATTCTCAATTTTAATTCAACTAGTTGTGACACCCCAGCCCCTGCCTTCAGCAATCCCAATAGTGGCTATTCTGTGCTTTTTAAGGAATTTTTCGGTCACTGACAGGATATCTGAGAGGATAGGATGAGTGGGTCTGATTATTACTTCTGCCACAAGGACCAGCAAACAGCGGCGAAAGGCAAACATCTTTTCTAAGGTGACATAACAAGCCATTTATAAAACGAACTTTAAAATAGCTTCTACTCTCAGACTTGACCAATTAAGTCACATTTTCTCTGTGACTTAATGGCTCTAGGCTTTACTCTTACTTCATAAATCACAACCACAAGCTTGGGAAAATGCTTCCAATTATACCAGTCGATAAGTTTTTATTGACTGTTTACAATCAGCCTCATGCCAGACCAAGTGCTATGGGAGCCAAGCGCCTAATGTGAGGCCTGAACCATCCACAGCTCTGACACTGTTTCAGGCCTTGTAAACAACCCAGGACCTTTCCCTCTGGCAGCTCATTGCCATCACCTGGAATTCAAGAGCCTGGCAACCTGGCCCAAGCTTACCTTTCCAGCTACCCCTCTACTCCTGTTGTCTCACCATGTCTTGTTTTTAATCTTCCTCTACTCCTGTTGTCTCACCATGTCTTGTTTTTTTTCTGGGTGTGTGTCCACATTTGCATTATTGTTTCTTCTCCAACCAAGAAGCCCCTCTCTGCAACTCTGTTTGCTGAATAATTAGCCATTCTTCATGACTTACGTCAAATCCCATCTCTTCCATGAAGCCCTGCACCACCACTCTCTTGGAAGTGCTTTCTTCTTTGAATTGACTACAGGTCGGCTTACTGTACCACTAAGAGGACACTTAGTTATCAGTGCATATATGTAGTCTATAAACTCATGCAGGATCGGTATCATCTCTTATTTGTTGTATTCACTATGGTAACTTTCTCATACCAAAGGCTTAAGTAATATCTGTTGAATGTACAATACTGGTGGAAGAAGTTGCATTAGAGGTGAGCCTTTAAGAACAGGAAAGATGAACTAGGACATGGAGACCAGTTTAGATAAGGGATAGCCTAAGCAAGGTATAAAAATGAGAATGCATGAGGTTCCTCTAGGGAATAGCAAAGATTTTATCTCAACCTAAAGCTTAGACAGCATGAATGCTAGTAGTGGTTCACTCAGTCCACCAAAATGAACTTCATTCTGTGGGAACTGGATACCCATTGAAGATCTCTGAACAAGAGGGCTATTATCAGAACTTCGAGTTATTGGAACCAGTATGAAATGCGTAAGAAAAGTCTGGCCTAGAAATGAAGATACCAGTAAGATATCCATTGTAATAGTCTAGGGAGAAAACAGGCAACAAGAGCCTGAATTAGGGAAGTGGCTCTGGGAGCATAAAAAATATTTCTACAGAGGTAGGAAAAGACATTTTAGGGCCGGCTGGGTGGCGCAAGTGGTTGGGTGCGCGTGCTCCGCTCCCGGGGTTCGCCGGTTCAGATCCTGGGCACGCACCGACGCACTGCTTGGCAAGCCATGCTGTGGCGGTGTCCCATATAAAGTGGAGGAAGATGGGCATGGATATTAGCCCAGGGCCAGTCTTCCTCAGGAAAAAAAGAAGAGGATTGGCAGATGTTAGCACAGGGCTGATCTCCTCACAAAAAAAAAAAAAAAAGGACCACCCCTGGGGCTTAGCGGTTAAGTGTGTGCGCTCTGCTGCTGGCGGCCGGGGTTCGGATCTGGGCGCGCACCAACGCACTGCTTCTCCCGCCATGCTGAGGCCGCGTCCCACATACAGCAACTAGAAGGATGTGCAGCTATGACATACAACTATCTACTGGGGCTTTGGGGGAAAAAATAAATAAATAAAATAAAAAAAAATCATTAAAAAAAAAAGACATTTTAAAAATAATGATGTGAAGGATTCCAGTTTGAGTAACTCTGCAGGTGGTGGTTCCATTAAAAATAAAGAAATGAGAGAGAGAGAGGAGGTTTTGGGAAAAAAAGATTAATTCCTTTTTGAATATCTTGAGTCTGAGGTCCTGTTAAGACAGTCAGGTGAAAATATCTAAATGGTAAGTGATAAGTAGTGCTGGAACTCAGGAAAAACGTTGGAATGGAAGGTCTAGGCTCAAAAATCATCAGCAGGAAGCTGGCAGCTGGAGCCAATAGAATGGAGGAGGCTGCCTAAGCACATGATGTGAATAGATGAGACAAGGGCCAAGGACAGATCCTTGGTAACATCTACAACTTGAGGGTGGCAGGAGCAAGATGGAATGGTCAGGAGATACGAGAAAAAGCAGAACAAGTGGCATAGAAGCCCAGTAACGAGCATGATTTGTCATTTAAGCAACTAACAACGAGAGATACCAAATCACTTACCTTGTTGAAAAGATGAAGGTTAAAAGCATAAAACTCAGCTGAATAGAAAATACTGAAGGAAAAAAAAGATTGAATCTAAATTAGCACTATAAAAGCACATTTACCAGTATGCTTAGTTTTATCTGAAACTTATGGGAACTCAAATAGAAAAACAAACAAATGAATAAACAAACAAACATACCTTGAGCTAAACTGATAGAATCATTTAAATTGGTGGGCTCAACTTGTTCTTATTGAAGACATCCCTAGATATAATCTATGATATCTACTACTCAGGGCAAGTCTAAAACTCTCTTTGATTTAAGATTTGGTTATTTAATTTATTCAATTTAGAAAGAGCTGGTATATACTATAAATATTTATAGCAAATAGCATAAATGTGGTGGCATATAACATATATTTTGGAATAACTCATTTTGATTTTAATAACAAAAGATTCTTTGATATTATAATTACCAAAAGTTGTTTTTGGTATCACAGCATAAATAGAACAAAAGGTTGATTTTTGAGCCTAGCAGTTAGTCATGCAGTGCTTAATGAACGATGGGGATACTTCTGAGAAATACATTCTTAGGTGATTTCGTTGTTGTGTGAACATCATAGAGTGTACTTACACAAACCTAGATGGTATAGCCTACTACACGTCTAGGCTATAGGGTGCTAATCTTATGGGACCATCGTCATATATGTGGTCTGTCGTTGACTGAAACATTATTATGCGGTGTGTGATGTACTTGCATTTTATAGTCTGCTGCTTCTTAAAATGAAATAATATTATGCTGGGTATATTTTAATAGAAAAGATTATGTAAATATTCACATTTTAGCCAATGCATCTGATTATTATAATTATAAAATAATAGTATCATATACTATAAATCCTACTTTTAATTCACAATAAAGGATAAGATTAGCTTAAAGTCATAATAAAATAAATTGGCAAAAAGTGCTCAATCTAACATTTGAATTTGACAGATATTATTGCTTCTTTCATCTGACATCAACTATCGTAAATCAAAAATAGAAAACAAAGGAGATTAAGTCATAAGTGCGTAACTGGTGTCTTTTTAAAGGCCAGATACACATGATAATATCACTGAGTACATATAATATGATACTAAGTATTCTTTTCTAATCAAATTTACGTTTGAAATGAATTTAGGGAACACAAATTGCTACACTTTGCTCTTGGGGAGACCGAGTGGATAGCAAGGATCCATTTACCAACTTACTTATGAACAGTATGAGAACAAGGCTGAATTTATCCAGGTCAATATTTGGGTTAGAGAACGTGTCACAGAACGTCGTGTAGATGATCATGAGGAGCACACTGCTGCTGATAGCACCAAAAGGCGGTTTCTTCCTTTCAAGCCAATCCTTGATGTATCTTCGGACAATCTGAAATACAGATCAACAGGCTGCCTCTTTTCAGAAATAGAGGGAGTTGAACTGGGCATTGCAAAGTGATTCTGACAGCAGAAAGCCATAAAGGAAAGAGAATAATTTGGATGACGGCCACAGTGGATTTCAAAGCTTTCCTGCCACACCGCTCTTCTTCTGAGGAATTTAACATTTGTAGTGCAACTTCCACTGGTGTCCATAATGAGAGTATATTTTCAACTGCATTCAAATCCATCCTTAATCATGCCAAATGCTCTTTCCTAGCTGTCACTGAGACATGCCCATTAAGCCTCCCCAAAGTTTACCTCCTCTGCTGATCCTAATGGATGTGTGTAATTATCATAGTCCCCTTTGCCTCAACAGACAATTCCAAGTGCAACTTTGGGAATCTTAAAAATCTGACATCTTCAAGAATTTCAAGACGGTAGATAATCGAAAGTGATCCATGGAACATATTAATATTTAAAATGCTAGCAATGCACCAGAAGTTTTTAATTAAATTATAACTCATGCTTGAAAAGCAAAAGTGCATGTGTTGTGGGAGTTTAAATAATTCAAACTCTGAATATCTAGAGTTTTTGTGAATCCAAAGACAAATGCCATTTGCATGCTTTTAGAATTCTAGAATTAATGCTTAAAAATGAATACACCTGTCCTAACTTTTCTACAAAAGGATGAGTGAAATATAAAGTTATATAGCAATCCTCTCTTATTTTAAAATCAAATCAGATATTTAAAATCAGGACAGTCTGAATATTGGTGATAACTTTTGTTTTGTTATCAAAGTGAACTACTCTATTTAAAACCTTTCGCTTTTGAAAGAAGCTGAACAAGCCCTATAATAAGGACTATAGCTGAGACATACTAAGGTTTGAGTCACTCATTATCCTACATAATTGAACACGAGATTTCACAACAGGCTGAATTACCATGATCCATTAGCAATAATGAGGTCAGGGAGCTTCTCCTGACTAGGCTGATGCGGTGCTATCATCTACTCTGTCACTGAAAAGCCTTAGTTTGCAATGGAGCATACCTTCACAGATACTCAAGATCAAAATAAACTACTCTCAAGAGAAACTTTGAACAAATGCCTTTGGATCAACTTTATCCATTCTCAAGGACTCAGTAAGTGAAATCACAGTGTTAATAAAGGGAGTCCTGGCAGAAAGCTGACCAGGTGGTACAAGGTACACTTACAATACCTTGAAGGTTGGGTGGGGGTGGGAACGAGGAGAAAGAGTGTTTTATATATAGATAGATAAATGGTTACATATTTTTAAAAAGTAGATCTTGTAATTAAAGTTATAACTGGATTTATAAAAAAAAAATATATATATATTTTTGTAGAAGTGATCCCAAACTACAGTAGTTTATCTAGTGTTTCTTTCTTTAAGGTTAAAATGTAGTGCGGTATAGAGAAATAAGAGCAGTTCTGTCACACAGTGTTACTGACCGATGTATTAGAACACAAGTTTGGATAACAGTGCTCAAGTCCCGAGATGGCCCCATGTTCGGATATGTCACCGTGGGGGTAGCTGCTTATTAGAAAGCTACAGAGAGACTTCATTTAAAAGGGCATTTCATAATCTATTGTGTTTAATAGCATAAAGCTGTTAGTTGCCCAGATTTAACACAACTCAATCCTTTAGGAAATAAAATAAATGGAAATTACATGGAGTTATTGAAATTGATGCTGTCCTCCAATCTTATTTTAAAATGCAATAGTTAAAAACACAAAAGTCCTCTCTCTGCAATAAGTTATAGAATGTGTGATCTCAATTCCAAAAGTAAAAGTATCTTTTCCCACCACTATCGACCCCTCTGACAAAATAAACAAATAAATATGAATGAGGTGTAACTTGGAAGTCAAAGCCATTTTAAAAACCAAGACAAATCTCTAATCATCAATCAACTTTATAAACTGTAATTTGACTTAGTCAACCTAATTACATCTTTCTTCATTACAAACTACTCAGAGTCTCTTTCAGTACGGCAAGAAACAAGCGCTCCTGAGTCCTGCATCCTCCTGGCCAAAATGCCTTTCTTCTAAACACATCAATGTGTTTACGTTGGATACTTAATCTCAATAAAGAAAACAACTAGAAAGTTGGAAATTGGACAGACCCACAAGTGAAACAGTAACCCTAGGGGAAAACAGATTGTCTTTCACTGTTTTTAGTTTTATAGTGATATTTGTGTTTTCTAAGTAAACCACTTTATAACTGGCCAGGCTCCATAGAGTTTTTCCATCTTCTTCTAAAATTAAATTCACAAAGCAGCTGCTTTTGAATTGTGGAGCTAGAAAAGTGTTAAAATGTTTCATACACTACAGGGTGAGGTAGTGTTGACACGCCTCAAAGATGTGCTGTGGACATAAACCCTAGGAAACCTCGGCTTCTCTTAGTTCAGCCACTTACACTTTTGACACAATCATTCTCCATTTGTCAAGAACCATGTCATTTTAAAATTCTCCAAAATTCTTTGCCTTAAGAAATGTTTAATAACCTTATAGGAAACAAGATTTTGCTAGAGATAGGTCAACACGACCTGATAGAGATGCCTCAGATTCTCTCTTGGGAAAATTAAAAAACCAACAACTCAAGATGAGATGGGAAAAGGCACTCTAGTGAGGTGGCCAGTTGTAGCTTTCTTCAGAATCTATACTAATTCAGTTGCCCACATAGCTCACAGAAACTTAGACATTCAAAATCAAATGACAAATCCTCATTAACTTGTTTGCTTTTCCCTACGGAGAGAGGAGGAAAAACATCTTCCACAGGAAGCTTTTTATTTTATTTTCATCTTCTACATTTTGATTTTCTTTATTTTAAATTAAGCACCAGGAAAGGTTAAAGGGAAAGTTAAATTTGAATCCCTGTACTTCTAATAAGCTGAGCTACATATCAATTACTGCATGACCTACAAGCTGGAAACCTGGAAAAATAACACGTCTTAGGTGAAGAATGTTGATAGACTGAGATAACCGAGAAGTGTAATATCCATCATTTTAGTTTTCTTCATTTTTTTTCAGGGTATTGTCTTGCTTTTCTCTTTCTACTCTGCCTTTACATTTATAAATTGATTTCTGAGTGGGGATATATGATGGATTATTTTTCAAGTTAAGTCTGAATTTTAAAATATATTTTTCTTCAAGGTGGCTTTAGATTGTTTCTTCAATTTTTATCCTCTACTCCAATGAATCCATATATGTTCATAAAGTGTTTTGTTTCTTCATTAATATTCTGTTGAAATGTATAGTCAGGGATATGAAATCAAATCCAATTTATATAACACTTTTCTTTAAAGGTATTTTTTATTAAATATTGAGTAGATTCAAAATAATATCTGTATACTTTCTAAAAAGGTATAAACAATAATAATAAATGGATACATTAAGCACACGTCATCTACTTAACTTTTTGAAAATTCTTTCCCACTATTATTTAATTTCATTGTCATGAGAAAGGTCGTGCAGATATTATCCTGCTCAGTTTACAGTTGAAAACAAAGGCACAGAGAACTCAAACAACTTGCATAAATTTTAAAAAGCTAGTCAAGTGGATAAGTAGGAACAGACCTATATTTCCTGAGGGAACAATAGCATAGGGGTTAATGGTACAGACTTTGGAGTTTCTTACTCTGTGATCTGCCCTGTGCCTCATCTGTAAAATGGACATAATAGTAGTCATAGTGAGGAGTATGTAGTTAAATAAATATAAAATGCTTTAGAACCTGGGCCTGTACATGGTAAATAATGGCCAGTCTTATTTCCAAGTCTCAGATTGGTGATGTTTCTATCACAACACTGTTTACCAGTATATCCCACTGCATAATGTAACCGCCAGTTTTCTCTCAAAGCAATGAAAACAGTTCATAACTAATATAATTTTATAAGTGCAAAATTTTATTAACATTAATAACACTAACTTCCGCTTTAGCTGAAGATTATTATGAAAAGCCAATCTCAAATTGTGAAACAAATCACTAATGAAAGGCCAGAGAATGCATGAATGATAAATGATAGATATGCTTTTGATTATTAATTTATAGGAAAAAAGTGGGGTTTAGTGTGCTGTTTTGAAAAACATTTTTCAAAGGTGGTAGAAATTCTATTTTATTAACATTTATTTGTAAATCTCTCAAATATAATGCATAAAATAAGTATTTGTCACAAGCACTTAGATGTATTGAAGGGTTTATCAGAAAAGGAGAAGAAATATTACAATAACACACATTTTATTTCTTTCTAGAATTGACAGAAGAAGCAATCCCTCAACCATCTATGGAAAGACTAATCTTATCTCACAGAGTCACAGCATCTTCGAGCTGGAAGATATTAAACTCCTTGTTCTACAAATGAGGAAAGTGAGGCCTAGAAGTCATATGGATAGCCAGGTGGTGGCAAAGACCAAACCAGACTTCAAGTCACATCACAGTCAGACAATAATGATTGCAACCAAAAAGAAGTATTGTATGAGAAAAACACAGAAAAATAAAATAAAATTCACTCTCAGAAATATAAATAAAAAATTGAATAATGAAGTTTTTTGTGTGTGTGTGAGGAAGATCAGCCCTGAGCTAACATCCGTGCTAATCCTCCTCTTTTTGCTGAGGAAGACCGGCTCTCAGCTAACATCTATTGGCAATCCTCCTCCTTTTTTTTTGCCCCAAAGCCCCAGTAGATAGTTGTATGTCATAGCTGCACATCCTTCTAGTTGCTGTATGTGGGATGCGGCCTCAGCATGGCCGGAGAAGCAGTGCGTTGTTGCGTGCCCGGGATCCGAACCGGGGCTGCCAGTAGTGGAGCGTGCACACTTCACCGCTAAGCCACGGGGCTGGACCCCAATGATGAAGTTTTATCATCACTACAGATTAAGGAAAATATTTTCAGCTCACCCTGCATGGTCTTTTTCCTCTCCCTCTAGTTCCATTGATTATTTAAAAGGTAATGATAAAGTCTCATTTTAAAAGATGCATATAAAAATCTATAGACATGTTTAGTCTCATAATGTGGCAGCTCTAGTTACAATTGAGAAACGAGGCTACCTTGCCCGGCATCTGTTTCCTCTGAAGTGCTACATACGAGCACTTCTTACAAGGTCCTCAAAGATCACCTTACAAAGTTTAGGTGAGTCAATGGATTACAAATAAATACAGAGATAAACAAGCAGACAAGGTCCCTGGTCTCATAGAGTTTACATTCTAGTTTGAGAAGATAAATAAAAAGAAAAACAACAAACAAATAAACGAGAAGCAGATAATGATCCATACTAAGCAGAGGTTTAAACTGGATGATCTGACAGTGACCAAGTGGCTACTGGGTAGCCCCTGGAGGAGGGTGAGGAAAGGTCTTTCTGAGGAGGTGAAAGGTGAGGTGTTCCAGGCAGAAGGAACAGCCAGCGCCAAGGTTCTAGGCGGGATCAAGGCTGGCGTGTCGGAGAAACAGAAGCAGGGTCAGTGAGACCTGAGTGTAAGGGCAAGTGGGGGAGTGTTAGGAGAAGTAAGAGGGACTTGAAAGTAGAGGACAGGGCAAAATAATCCTATAAGGAAGTGGAGCAGGGTTTCTGGGAAGTGTTGAATGACATTTTAAATTTGGCGTCATGAATTTAAAACAAGATGAGACCAATTACATGTTTCTCTCTAGCAAGGCCGGAGATCTAGGGAAAATGGCTGCTGGGGGCTCTGTGAGGGTAAATTCAGAGTTTTCTTCAGTCAATCTTTTTATACAGCTTACACCCTACTATTGAGTATGCTATTAAATATAATATAAGTCTCTGCTTCTAGGAAGCTCACAGATAAATTATAATCTCTCCTGACAAATATTACGAATCAAGTACCATGGGAGAATTGGAACCTAGTCTAGGCCAGGGGAGTCAGAGCAGGTCCACTGCATGTCAGAGGGCATCTCTGTACAGAGTCTTAAGGAATGAGTAGGAGTTTGCTGGCAGAAAAGGTGGGAACAATAAGATGAAAGGCATGGAGCAGTGCGGGGCACGGTCAGGAGAGGGAGTGGTGCGCATACAGCCCCCCAGAAGAGACGCCTCTATGAGGGGGATGGTGGGAGGCGACTCTGGAGAGTACGTGGGGCCAAACAGTGAAGGGCTTTGTGGCCCACACAGAGATAGACGACAGGGAGCCAGGAGGGAAGTTTTTCAGGAGAGGGATAACATAATCTGATTTGTTTTTTAGGACTACCCTGGAGGCAGTAAAAACATGAGATAGGAATTGGAAGAGACAGCACAGAGACTAATTTGGGAGGTGCAACTGTTTAGATAAGAGATGATGAAGGTGTGGCATCCTCTCTGGCAGTGTGAATGAGGCTGCAGATGCCAGATCTGAAAGATTTCTGAAGCAGAAATGGTGGCATTTAGTGACTGCCTGCATGTAAGGGAGTGAGGATGTAAGGAGAGGGAGGAAGCAAAGTGGTTTCTAGATATGGAGACTGGGGGTGTGATTGTTAATTCCTAAGACTAGAATACAAGAGGGGGGCAGATAAATGCAAACATAAAGGTTGTTCTCTTTGAAAAAAGCCATTGAAGTACTTTGGTACTAGAGTACTTTTAAAAAACCACCTATATTACTTTTTGACTACCTTGACTGCTTTATAATTTACTGTAATACTTGATTACTGGGCATGCAAAGGATAAGCAATCTAATAATTCATTGTTCTCTCTGGATAAATATTCTTAATTACATAAATTATGTAACCCTATATATTAAAAAAAAAACCACTGAATAGCTTAGACAAAGGGTTTTTTTCCTATATGTTTTAAGCCAAACATTTATTGTTAATAGAGATTTCTTCAAGATTGACTAAGAGAAGAATGTATGTGCCCTGAGTTATTATATGGAATTATTTTCAGAACCAAGAAAATAAGTTTGGGTTTAAACTAATACTCTGCACATCTTAAACTGTGGCTAGAGCTGAGAAGGGCAGGCGGGTTCTGTTATGCCTCTGTAAGACACAGTACTTCCCCTATAGATCACAGAATTCCTCTCACTCATTCACTCCCTCCCTCACTCACTCAACACATAGTTACTGGGTGCCTATGGTCTGGGTATGTAATGATAAACAAAACAAATATAGGTCCTGTACTCATGAAGCTGACAGTCTAATGGAGGAGACAAAGAGTTAACAAGAAACAGAAGATAAGTATATATTGTGACAAAGGCCAAGAAAGGACTCAAACAACATGCTGCAATGAAGAATAACCAGGGAAACACACTTCAGATAGATGGTTCAAAGAAGAGACGAATTAAAGACTTAAATGAGCAATGAGTTGGGGTGGGAGGGTGGGTAGAAAGACATTCTAAACAGAAAAATTAAGCAGGAATTGAGAAGAAGCCAGGGAGGCTACAGAATAGGAAATGTGGCAAAGAGGTTAGAGGGGTAGGTGGGGGATGTAATATTTATTCAGAATATCTGTTACGTGAGCAGCAGTGTGGAAGAAGTATTGTTTTCAAGTATCCTTTTATATTCAATTAAATGGTATTCTTTGAGTGCTTTTAAGTCCTCCCCTTTTACCCTAAATTTAGTCCCTTTTCTAAGCAGAAAATTAAAATTAAAAAAAGATTAGTGCATGAGTAGTGGATGCAGTGGTGTTCCACCCTGATCCATCTCTTCAGGAATGAGGTGCCTATTCCCACATCTGCAGGGCATGTTGGTTGACTGAAAGGTCTCAGTTGAGCTCCTCTTTGGAAACTGCCTTCAATTCAGTTGAGTTCCTCTTTGGGAATTGCTGCCAAGAGAGCAGACTCACCCAAGGTCATACCTCTCATGGGGAGTGGGATCTAATGACTGGTCAATGCAAGAGTATAGAGACCAGGCACTCTTGTTAGGCAGGACAACACTGAGGGGTCATTCCACTTGAGGCCTTTGCTGGGACGGCATCACAGTTCAACTCCTCCCTCAACCCCAGCCAACTTTTTTCACTCTCCCAAAGGTGTTGATCCTAAGGGTGCTCCCCAATAAACTCCCTGCATGGAAACCTCTGACTCAGAGTCTGTTTCCCAGAGAACCTAATCTAAGACAACATGTACGTATTACATGTCTATACATATATACTTTTTTATAGTTAATATTTCAAAGAGTTGCTTCTTAGTATTTACAGGGAATTTGAAAATGATGTTGATAGACGCTCTAGAGCACTTACCTGTGTCAGGCTCTATGATGACAAAAACTTTATATGCATCCATACTACATTTAATCCTCCCAACAACCCTTTAAGATAGGTACTATTATGTATTATACAATTTGATAAATTACGAACCTGGACCTAGGGACATTAAATGACTTGCCCAAGCTCACATACCACGTACAACATTGAACTAAGAACTAGAGTCTAGTTGCTCTTAAACCAACATCTGTGCTCTTAACTATCTTAATATACTATATTCCTAAGACTCACTCATTTTAGCAGTACATTAAATTCTGCTCTGTTACTGTGGCTACCGAAGATTAAAAAAACAACAATCTTGTTTTTAAGTTTATATGCTTATAGTTAAATTATATGCTTATTATTAACTTGTAAGAAATTAAAATATAAGAATTTCTTCTATTAGTCTAATTCAATAAGAATGATAAAGGAAACTAAACTTTCTAAGATCTAATTTTAAGAGCTAATAAGATTAAATGTTAATTTTATCAATTACATGATCACAAATATGACCACCACTGTTGGAGAAGTCTGTGAAGCAGCCAGCCAAAGACAGATGCTTGTTCCCAACAATGGTCATAAATGCTGAGACCTTATGGGAAGTCGCAGAATAAGGTAATGATTTGCTAGATGTTTCCAAGCTAGCTACACAGCTACAAAAAAGGGAAAATAAATTTAAAACACCAAGATTCTGTGCAGGTGTCTTTATATATAGCTATCTGTAAAGCACATTGATATTAATTAAAAAAAATTAAAAGATGAGAATATTGTGATTGATGAAACTGTGTTTCACAGTCTTATATTTTCATTTAATTGTCTCTTCCTCTATCTTTCCTCTCAATTGTCCTGACGTTGCATAGGAATTAAAATTTGATCTATAAAGAAAAGAGCAGATAGAATTGGAGACCTTACCTGCCCAATAATGAGAGGAACCACAACAGTCATAAAAAGCTGAGAAAAAATAGATGTAAAAGGCACAGAAGAGGATGAGCCAAGCTGTAAAACAAGAATATAAGGGGAGTTAGAGTTACTTTGAATCAGTTATCAAATATTGCTGTTAATTAAATAATGCAATAAATGAATTCTCTCAGATGCACCCAAAATTTGACAGCTATATACAAACAAAAAGCAAGTGAAGTTACTTTTAATTTTCTAAATTTAACACAAAATAGACTGTTGAGTAGTTTAATTTATAATTTCTAGGGGGAGACTAAGATTCAGGAAAAACGATAACTATTGTTTTGC